TATATATATATATACAATGTTCTACATGAGCCGAGTGGTATGAAACTTTGGTCCTCAAGAGAAACCAACGTCCTAGATCGCACGCCAATGTTATCCTGCTGTATTTGGCAATGTTTCATTCATGAATAGAAACCCTCTCCCAATCAAACAATCATTGTTTGTAGTAGGCTTGTCCTTTTTCTTATATAAATATATAAGTCACTTGTGCTGTGAGTATTCACCATCACCGTGCTCACTTTACTCAAGCAAAATTTGTCCAGTACAATCTTCTGAACTCATGTAACCTGTTCGAACAGCAGCGATAGCTTACAGCTTGCTACTCATTGCAGCGAATTAATTCCTCTATATACATCAATACAATGAACGTCAAACTGAAGTTTCTTCTACTGTAATTGAAAGGGCGTGCCCAACTACTTATGGGCAGTACCACCAGAACCTATGAAGCCTTGAGCAAGAACAAGAACACCAAGGCTTTCAGGCCCGTCTCTGGACCAAACCAATCCAAGCCAATCAAAGGCTCGAAAGGTATCGAAGAAAACAGTCTAAATCTAAACCCGTGAAGGCTTGCGAAAAACCTCAAGAGGGTACCCCGGACCAAATAGGAACCTCATGGAACCTTGAAAAAAACACCAAAAACCTCAATCCGAACCCACGAAGGCCTGCAAAAACCTAGAGAGAGAGCCTGATTAGTCTTACAAGTGGATGCGTTGTGTCGGCTGGTGTATTTTTGGTGGAGTGTTTTGTTTCACGCATTTCTTTCACAGCTTTGCAAGCTCTGTAATTCCCCGTCTCTATTGATTTTTCCTTCTTCCGCGTGGCTGTTGGGAGCCCATTTGTGCTCGTGAGAAGTAAGCAGGTAGATGGGCTTCCAAGCAGATACTTCATGAGAAAAGATCATGTCCACGTTGATGCGACAGTGCTTTCTGACATGCATACATGTGTGGTACTTCTCCCTGATAGTTGCACAAAGTACTTCAAATTCCACAAAGATCCTAACGTATTTTTATAAGTACTAACAGATAGCCACTTTCTTTTGGCCCTTAGCCAGCACCAAGCTTTTCTCTCAGTGGCCGCAGCTTTCAGCATGGTGGGATTTGGACCGGCCGCGTCAGCATGGCTTTGTGTTTTTTCTTGCTGGACTGGTCATGAAGCCAGCTTTTGCAGGTGGGTGACCGGCCAGAAAACCTGGTCGGACCTCCAGCCTTGGGCTATTTGGCCAGGACCCTAGTGGCCTCAAAGCTGGCGCTGCACAGCACTCCTATGGGAAAGGTTGGTCACTGATGCTCGTGAAGCTTCTGGCAAGAAGGATTGCAACACATCCCCAAAAAACACAATCAAGAAATGGCTAGCTAGCACCATGATTGACAGACCATTTTTTGGTTTGATCGGCCTTTTGGTGGCTTGAAAATAGCTCGAGCTTTTCTTTGCACAGTATGCTGGGCAGATCACGTGTTGGCAATCATCATACATAGAAGGGTTCCGTGAAAATCGAGCATTGCTGACCTGGCGGGTGATCAGAATCCTCGTTGTGGGGTGGGGAGTGTCCACGCTGAGTGAGGCCTCTTTGGCCTTTGGGGATGGCGCCTTGCCCACGACGCAAGTCACTCTCTTTGGTGGCAAGGGCGGTGTGGGGAAGCCTGAGGCCCCAGATGAGACAAACAGTGAGGTGGTCGACATGAGATTGGTCGAAAGGAAAAGCTGCGGGAAAGGCACAGTTTGGGAGTGAAAGCCAAGTCTGGGAGAATCATTCCAGAATTGGTTTAGGGGAAACATTTATGGGACACCCGCAGTTTTTGTTTGGGGTGACGACCATGGTTTCCCGTGGATTTTCCCTTCCATCCATCCATTGAAACAAGGTTCGATCTGGGAGAGTGAAGCATCCATGGCAACCAGGACCTCCATGAGCTCGGCCATGGCTGTGAAGACCGCCACGGAGGGGCAACGGGTGCGGAGACCTGCTCGGTGGGTCCCGGGAGGACGGGGGGTGCAGGGACCTGCAGTTTTTACCGTCTAAGCGTGGAGAGCTGTCACTTGTCACTTGAACGTCACTAGTTGAAAACAGGAGGTGGTACCTGTTCTTTTTTGCCAGGAAGGTCACAACTGGGCCCAAGTCCCAAGTCCCAAGGCTAAGGCGGATAAGATTTCATGGTAGCCGCTCCAAAAAGGATATTGGAAATCCATGGAAACTCGGCACACGCATTCATTTCCTCATCCTCAACTGTTGCATCCTTATTCGTCATCCCCTCCTCAAAACTCCAAACCAATCAACACCCCACGCACTCAGCATTAGACCAGTTGTGCATGGTGGGCTCCACCTTCCAAGTTGACTTCAGCATTCCATTCTGTCGCTTTTGAGGTGTATCATAAGCAAACTAATAGCTTTTTGTTACTACTAGTAAGGCACTTGTTTCTAATAGCTTCTTGTTCCTACTAGTAAGGCACCTGTTACTAGTGGTTCCTAGACCAGTCTGTGGGTGATCGATCCTCATCAGGTGCTGATCATCTCCACGGACCCCGCGCACTCCCTGGGCGACGCCCTGGGGTGCAAACTCTCGGACTCTCGGTAGCACCCGGAAGAAAGAGTTGGCGGACGGGTGAGCGCGGCTGTGGAGTCTGAAGGGGTTCACAAGATTTCTAGGATGTTTCTGAGGGGAGTGGGAGAGAGAGGTTCTGTATGTCATATACTGTATGCTCCATCATACTGTACGTGATTCCAGGATCGACCATTTGGTGATGACCAACTCACAACACGGAGGTGTGAGCAATATCATTGACTGGTTCACTGCACGGGTTGGATGTCCTGTGTTTGGTGGAGCCGATGGACAAAGCCTCAAAGCCACGACATGATTGAGCGGATCTGTGCTTCTTGCGCACCGTCGACCTGATGCCTTGATCACGCAAATGTCTTGGCTTCAAACATCCTCACAGGAGGGCATTCTCCAAATTTTTGAAGACCAGCAGTGTACCCGTTGGTTCGCCCCAGATGGGGATGCTTTGACGCGAGTGGCCCAAGGTCACCTCGTGTCGAGGGCCGTGCTTGGATGGAGCGAGGCCTTCTTTTTGGGGTATGCCACTGGTCTTGGTGGGCGCTGCTAAGCAGCGCCGACTTAGTTCCGGACATGAACATGGAGTTTGCTTCTCAGCTGGTTTTAGGCCAGGATGATGGCAACTGGCAGGAGGCCACACAGAGCCCCGCCTTGCATGCAGCCGGGCTGCTTGGCTTCGGCCAGTTAGTCGGGTTGGGGGACACAGGCGTGGATACAAATGCTTGCTCCTTTCAAGATCCCAGTGCCTCCGTGCCATACCAAAGCACCAGCCCGGCACACCGGAAGATTGCTGGCTACTTTTCCGCGGGTGGAGATCAGGAGGATGGACCTGATGGGCATGGCAGCCACATTGCGGGCACCATGGTGGGTCAATTGCAAGAGTCTCAGGCGCAAGCTTGGCAAGTTCCACAGAACCAAGGCATCGCACCAGCGGCGCGTCTGGTGGTGGTAGATGTGGAAAAGAGTGCTGAGCCAGGGGTTTACAATGTCCCAGAGTCCTCCATTGAGAGCCTGTACTTCGACCACTTTCGGCTTGCAAATGCCAACACGGTTTGCTCACCTTGGAGCTATTCTCAGAATGTGCAACTGCAGAACCGAGTCGACCTCTATGTCTGGAACTATCCCGAGTTCCTGCCCGTTTTCCCTTCGGGAAATGTTCGTGCGGACTCTGCAGAGAAGGGACCTGAGTCGCCTTGCACTGCAAAGAATGCTCTTTGCGTAGGTGGGGTCGTTCTACGCCCCGAACGTCCATGCGGTCGGCCCAATGGCCCCGGGGTCAGTCCGCCCCAAACCTCACTCAAAACTCAATGGGATGGGGATCCTAGGCCATGCACTGTCTGAAAGGGCTTCCAAAAAGAGACACTGATAAAACACGCCAGGTGCATCTTACAACGGCCCACGCATGTACCAAGAGCAGCCCTCCTTTGTGCACAGCGCGATGCTGCTGGGTTCTGACAGCTGTGTGGGAGATGGACGTGCCAGTTCCTTGGATCGCAAGAAGGGCCGCCGTGGATCAAATCACTGAACTGCCTAACCCGGACAACACGCATGTTGGCAGGGGAAAGGATAGGCCCTGCGTGGGGAAAGCATGGTTTCTGGAGGTGAGTTCTAGCCGTCTAGCCGGCTTCAAACTGAGATAGCAGATAGCAAGCAACGAACTGGCCATCATTTCCGAAGTATTTTGTTGTTATCCATTGGAAAGAAGCTACTAGGGGCTCCTGGCCTTACTGCTAGGAGCAAGGACGCTACGAACGGGGCTCCTGGCCGTACTACTAGTAACAAGAAGCTACTAGTATCTTTCCATTGTTATGTGCTTCCGGCAATGGAAAAGGCCTTTGGAGCGAGCCCATGGGTCGGACCGAACCATCGACATGTGACGGACTGCGGTCCGTCACTCCGGAGTGAGAACCTGTTGGAGCGCACCATCCCAACCAAGCAGATATAATTGGTACTGCTCTCCTACCCTGTGTCCTCCCGACCGCTTCACAAGTGGATGAGACATTCGTTATTTTCCAGATCTTCATGATCTTGGAATGATCCTCATGATTTCGAGATTTTCAATGTATGTGTGCTATACCCGTAGATGTTCGACCTGCCGTGGCAGCTAGAACGCATTCACTTCACCCGAGGTTGTGCCGAGGAGTTGGAGGCCCTACCAGCACTCTTCGGCGCCACCAAGCCAAGCGCCCAGACATTGAACCTTTGCGAAGCCGTGGTGGACGACTGCTTGAGCTTCCGCGCAGCCTGTCCAGAGTGTGCCTTCAACCCCGCCCGTTTGCAGGCCGGTGGATTTTGCCATAACATGCGCAAAAAAGGCCACGCGGGAGCATTCATGGATTCGTGATTCATCTCAAGAGACCTTCCACAATGTAGTTGATAGAGGAATTTAGGATCGTTGGACTTGTGGACTTGCGATGCGCTTGTGATGGACTTATCCACCATGGCCCTGGCAGGCCGTGGTGGATGCACCAATCAGGGCTGCCTCACCGGCGGATGGGTGCAATCCACTGAGCGGCTTTCCTTCTGGTTTTGTATGCCTGGTGCAAAGAGGCTCCTGTGACTTTCTTCAGAAGGCCAAACGCTGCTCTGATGCCGGTGCGGCAGGCATGGTGGTGGTCAATGGAGCCGGACAAAGCATGGTGGTCATGACAGGAAATCATGCGAACATTGAGCAGTTTGGTCTCGTCTTGCCGGTGATGATGGTGGCCCACTCTGATGGCAGCAGACTCCAATCCCCTGGAGCTCGTGTGACCTTTCCAGTGGTCAGCAAGACAGTGGTTCCACAAGCGAGTGCGCCGTACAGCCGCTTTGGTTCTTTACCCGGAGGGCGGTCCAAGCCTGATCTTGTGCTTCCTGGAGATGGCATCTCAGCAAACAATCCATCATATCCGGCACCATTCAGCTTAGTTACTGTACCGGTTTAGTAAGTAGAGTGAGTGATTATATAATCAGTTGAAATATATTAAGCTATTAACTATTGTTATATATTGTCATTCATTGATTAGGGTATTTCCCCAGAAGCCGGACAGGGATCAGGTTTCAACCGACAACCGCCAACCGGG